GCATCTGTATACACATGTTTTTGATAAATTTTGCATAATTAAAATAATTTATTCCCAGAGCGGGTATACTTTATAACCTTTACAGTATGTCTAGTGTATCGTCAGTGACAATGTGCTACATTTTTTTCAGCCCATGGAAACTGATACTTTTCGCAAGATATTCAGTTTTCGGATGTGAAGGAAAAATATTAGAATATGCCCCACGTATATTTAAATAATTTGTCTATTCGAAGTGCACTCGAAGTGTTTTTGCAACTTGAGATCAAAATTCAAGGTCAGCTTCGCTTCCTCAACAGATTTACTGCAAGACGTTATATATAGGAATTAATTCAAAAACTTAACGTGTCATTGGAGTTGTCGCTCCAGTTGTTTTAGAGTTCTTTGCTATATTCCAAGCATAAAAAGTAGATTACATCATCAAGTTATTCATTGCAGACTTCTGCGAATATACTGGAGGGACTGTCTGATTGCCATGTCCTGACGCAACTTTTTGTGCCTTCAGAACTCGGGCGAAACAAAGATAAAATTAATTTAGCTTTGCTGCAAACCTGCTTGTAGAATTCAACCGAACATTCTGTTGTTGGCAAATGTGAACAGCCCCATCAACAGGAGTTAAACATGCCAAAGGCTTAGAAAATACCAGCGAAATAAAAAGCAACATGAACTAAGTAAGGTTTTTATAACCAGCAACATAAATTTATTCAATTTTTGAACACCCCGGTATCTTTTACCGCTTTAGAACTAATGGTATTAAGCTGGCTGTAATGCGTCTCAAATGTTATTAGTCCGTTTGTCTCAGTCTGTATAATTATATTGCTTTGAAATACATGTTTTATTAAGAAAAATACCCAAGGATGTCTTTTATTAGTAATATTATGTGTATTTTAAATTCTATAAACGTTTGTCGAAGTTATTTCACAACTGTATAAAAACATGCAAAAAGACAAGAAAAGTGAAACAGCTAGGGCGACCTATACCAGAATTTCCATTGGTAGTGGTCATGGTGGGCTCCGAAGTCGCGCTGGCGCTGGGCCTAGAAACCCAGACTGCCCAATGTCCTCCGTTTACCCCTTTAATCTTCCCATGAATCTTTTGGGTCTCAGCATTAATAATAACCACTGTGTTGTCAGCGTCTACGACGTAAATGATCCATTTATCGTTGATAAACAGGTTGTAAAATCTTCCGAAGAAGGAGTTGACGCCTTCGATATATTTCACAGCGGAAATGTTGCCATTTTTCGCCAAATCCAAGTCAACGACCATCATTTTGTCCGCGTGATCAAGAGAAAAAAATACGTAGTAACTAACTGATGAGTTACTTTTGGGGTAAAAAACAGGGTTGGAGACACCATTGGGGATTGCAAGTTTCGCGTGACTGGCTTTAAATCCTGTTTTATTCACGGTTAAAATATCTATTCGATTGATGGCATCAGTTATCACAACATATCGACCGTTAGGAGAAACAAACGGATAGCCGGAAATAAACCATTTTTTTGTGGCGCCACTGAGTGTGTCTAGTGCGAGTGTCGCATTTTCGTTGATTTTACAACGCATGTACACTTGTTTGTTGTAAGAGTTATACACAATGCTCTGTCCGTATGTTCCACTGCAGCCATACCTTGAGAAGTTACGAAAGCGTGTGTAATCCTTCGTTTCCAAGTTCAGTTCATGGATGCCGGAATCTTTAAGAGTTGTGACGAAGCCCGTCTTTCCTTCAAGCATGTTTTGGTCGGCAAGTATCCTGTCTCTATCATCTAATGAAAGTTTATAAGACTTAAGTAGGTGATGTCTGAAAATATAGTAAAACGTGATATTCACATACACACGTAGTATTCAAATATAGACTCACCGTTTGGGAGCTGAGCATGCGCAACACGGGTGCTAGTACGATGTTCAGTGTCGATGACGTCAAACCCACCAGAGGAAAGTGATACCCAGACTTCTTTGCGCCACGGCATACACAACATCTCGAATGGTGAAGAATCTGTCTGAATGGTTTTAATCTTCTTGTATGTTTTGATGTCGATCAAATGCACAGCACGTCCACTTCTATCCGCGACAAAAACTGTCTCATGAACAGCGCAAGCCAGACCAAACGAGCAAATGTCACTATAATGAAAGAGGGCTATGAGTTTACAAACTGTTTTAAACAAAAATCAATGTTTTAATACACATGTTTATGAGATTGTTCGCTACGGATATAGGGTCATGCTGCCGTGTTACAACGCTAGACATCAATTTGACGTACGAGTGTTTCTAGTTTGCGTGAAAAAAAGATATTCTATCGTTCGTGCCGCCGTAAAATTGAACAGGAAAGACAAAATATCCCAATTTAGTGACTTATCACATTATTACTATAGAACCGCCTCTGTTGACGTCACGCTGACGTAGATGTAATTAAGATTAGACCTCGTTTACACCATACCGGATTCACATGGTCACAGTGTGAAGTGTAAACAAGGTCTTGGATTGCTTATATATCTGCTTTATTCAATTGGACTGCTCAATAACCCCGAATCCCCTGTAATTTTTCAAAGCACATGCGAACGAGCATCTTTTCGCGTTGAAAGCTCATGAGCCAATTTTGGAAACCTTTTCTAGTAAGAACTGGACAAACCAACCTTGAACCGCTTCTCTTGGTACACAAGCCTGGTGCTGTTTTGTCTGTTATATTGGCAACAACACTTTTCGCCACTGGATCTATCACGTAAATACCATCAGTCCCCAGAACATAGAACACATTGCCTATGTCCGCTGAAGCAGTAATCGAATGACCGTGTAGAATTCCTGCAGAAAAATTAAATAGAGAATACACGGTGCGCGGAAATATGGAATTTATTTCAGTGTTGAGAATGTCGAACGAGTGAGCGTATCCCCAGATCGGTGAATCAAACATAATCGCATAATCATGCATGCACATGTGTTATCATCGCTTTTCAAAATGGCGGATTCGTCAATAAAACACTGCACATTATATAATAAAATTTAATAAACGCACATGTGTTATTATCGCTTTTAACAATGGCGTTTCGCTAATAAAAGATCTCGCCTCTTTCGATCCCGCCTGTCCATATCAACGCGCAGAAGTTTTCATTAGGAAAGGCATTCGTGGCAGGATTTCGCTAGCCGGCTTCCATTTAAACAGCCCCCTATTCATATATTGAGACTTTCTCTCCTTTTTTAATTCTTTACAGAGAAGACAAAAAGTTCAAGAAAACTACATAGTATATTTAATAGCTTGAGCTAATTATGTGACGCACATCGAAAGTGAGGAACTGACGTTGCGTGTTTTCGAGAGAAATGCCGATTCGACCTCGGACTCAACTTCCTTTTGAGTGTTTACTAAACGAAGCTAAGGTTGGGATTGAACATGAAAAAGTTGTATTGCGGTGTTTCTACATTCTTCCGCTACGAAGAAACAACATTGTTGTAAAGTTAACTTACCGTAGATAACCAGTATTTGAAGCAGAAGACGTGGCGTCATAACAATAATATATTGTATTACAGTTAATGCCTATTCAAACCCAACTATCCAGTCCAACAATTTTGATAGCGTGAAATTGTGCCAAAATTCTGCTAGATTATGCAAAAGGCTACGAATTTGGTCGTTTGATCTCAAGTCCTGGTGGTTACCGATGTGATATTCGAAGCTTTTTCGATAATATAAACAAGTAAAATACATCCATGGAATCGCAGATGTTAATGTTGCTAAGCGTATGAAAAACTAATGATTAAATTGCAACTTTAGTTATTCCTGCTGACTTCCCTTGAACGAACTAAAGCGAGGGCAACTCGATGCTTTGCCGATCGACAATTTTAGATATTTTCAGTCATTCCTTGTCCCGGTCTTGATTTGCGTGTTGTAAGCGCCTAAAGCCCACTTCTCATATGTCACAGACGAATGAAGAGCTTTGTTATTTTGAATAAATTTCTTTTTCGTCACCGACACCCGCAATGACCAATGTGATTGTCACCAGCCATCAACAATACATCGCCTACTGTCGATGACATATGAGTTTATTCTCGATTGTAACTATTAACTTCGACATGCTGTAAGGCATTGTATATTGCATGGCTATTCAATCACTATATATCGTGGAGAAAGCAAATATGTAGTATTTCAGTGTATCAATCCACCTTTCCGACGGTCAAACACTAATCAAAAACACGTGATCAAATGACAAAAATTCGGACAAACACATGGTCGGACATACTATAGTTTATATGGAGTGTCAGGATCACAATCATCACATTGCGTTTAAAGCTCTTTATATGTCTCAAAATGTAGAGGAAATACGATTTCGGCCGTTTCTTACCTTACAATAGTGTTTTCTAACGCTCACGATTCGAAAAAGGTTAGCAAAATGACATTGAACGAGCTAAAAACATACCTTCGCGAGCGCGGTGTTAGCGTCACTTAAAACCCGCGTTGGTATATAATTTGATATTGTTCAAGAGAAAACCGATAGTTGTTTGGATGCCTTTGTGCCATGATTAAGCTCCGGTTTTTGATGACGGATGGCGAGTGATTACATATAGTATATACAACGCATGCACATGTAAATTAATCATTCCTGATGATGACTAAATAAAGTCGAAACGTTGAATGAAAATGCTTACTTTATTCGGAGTTACTATTGTTGTTTATTGCAATATTTATATACCAACGCGGGTTTTAAGTGACGCTAACACCGCGCTCGCGAAGGTATGTTTTTAGCTCGTTCAATGTCATTTTGCTATACCATTTTCGAATCGTGAGCGTTAGACAACACTATTGTAAGGTAAGAAACGGCCGAAATCGTATTTCCTCTACATTTTGAGACATATAAAGAGCTTTAAAACGCAATGTGATCCTGACACTCCATATAAACTATAGTATGTCCGACCATGTGTTTGTCCGAATTTTTGTCATATGATCACGTGTTTTTGATAAGTGTTTGACCGTCGGAAAGGTGGATTGTGTGCTTTTGATAGTGCCTAACCGGATGCATGCATGATACTTAGAAATTAATCGCAATATCGGATATCGCAATATTGAATGTAATTTCATCAACAATGTACAACCTGGGCATATACGTATATTTTTGTTTAGCATTTTCGTGCAGTTGTTTTAAAAGCCCATTAGGTTTATTCATTAACACGTCAGGCCGGTCAAATTCCATAAGTTTAACCTGATCCAATACCATCACCCTGTCACATTTCAGTATCATACTCAGTCGATGTGCAATGATGATAACTGTGCAGTCTTTAAACATTTCGCTGATTATTCATTGAATTTTTTCCTCCGTGCTTTCATCCACCTTTTCTTTCGCTTCTGAAATATGTTTGCGAGTTGAAAGCGTATTGAAATGTTTAATATTCAAGCCATCAATCATAATCTCGCCCCGGGTCCCTGCAAGGCGCATAAGCGCGGCCATGACAGATGATTTTCCCGCACCAGTCCTTCCAGCTATTCCGACTTTCTCCGACGAGTTTATTTTAAACGAAACGTTCTTCAAGGAGTCCACGCCACCGATGTGACACGAAAGCGAAACGTCCTTAAACACAACTTCGCCCGCGCGTGGCCAATTTTCGGGCGGCGTATCAGGCTCATCCTGCCCGCGCTTAGGCTCGATTCTGGTGTAGGCAAGCACACGTTCCGCTGATGTCATCTGTGAGTTGACGTCACCCGTTACGAGAAATTCTTGAATAGCACGGTGATGTCGTTACAGTTTCTGGGTTCATGGTTTCGTTGGAACTTTTTTACATAGAGATCGAACGTTCAAGGGAAGCAATTGTCGTTTATGAAACTGCTTTAACAGCCGCTGAATGTATGTCTGATTCTGTTGCAGACGAACGGAGGGGAGCATTTATGGAATTACATCTTGGTCCGTCATACGCACAGAGTACATGCTAATAACAACACCGGGAAAGAAAGGAGTCGGGAAAGGGATTTGGCAAGAAAGTATTACGAAAGCGGTGAAAACATGGATTTTCATTTCTCATCATTGTGTAAGAAGTCTTGCTTGCTGGCTATTGGAAAAAAATGAGTTTATAGAAGCCATTGGGTTGCTTTATCCGTTGCTGGAAATCCATGATAAGTTAGCGAGTGTTCCTGTGGTTTTAGGATTTTCTTCAAGATTCTTTTATGGTCCAGCGATAAAAGGCTATATCGAGGAACATGGCGAATGCATGACAACATTTGCAAGTTTGGTGTTCAGCGTAGCTGTGTTTGTTTATGCTGAGTTAGGATTGACAAGTGACGCGATTACGACTTGTGAAAACCTATCAACTCAACGCGATCTGAATGGTATTTTAGGAGTCCAGCCCTCAGTGAATTCCTATCTTCTTGCTGCCTGTCATCGGAAATTGTCGTTTCTCATAGATGATGGAAAACTGGAGGATCGTGACTTTCCGCTATCGCCAATGAATCTAGCCAAGCTTTATTATGAAGCGGGACATTACGAAGGTGCTCTAAAATATTGTTCTGATATCTTGAAGTCAGTTGAATCCCCCGTTAGCGAACTGGATTCGACCGAGAAGAATGTCTTAAAACTGGATTGCATGCATATTGTTGGAAATACATTAATTCAAACAGGCAATCACGCCAAATGTGCTTCGTATTTTGTCTTATTCTTGGAGATACTTCACGAACAAAAACAAATTTTAGATTTAGAATTTAAGAAACAATGTGCTGTACTTGAAGAATATTCATTTGCAGACCGCTCTTACGTTATGCGTTCGTTAGGAAAGTTGTGTGCGAGACGTGGGCACTATGATTGTGCGATTAAATGTTACGAGAAATGCTTGGAGAACGACGAAAGCCTGGAATCTCAGCAGGACTTGGTCGGAACTTTAGCAGAACTTTATCAAACAAAAGCTCTGCTGGCCAAGGAGGACCAACCTGTGTACACACATTGGATGAAATTTGCTTCTGATCTGTATGCGAGATGTTTTGAAAAGATAGAAAAACCCGTTCCATTTGTTCAGTCATCTTATGGCTTGTTTCTCTGCAAGTGCGATCGCCACAGCGAAGCCATTGAATACTTACTGAATGTTATCGAAACTCTCGAGGATACATCAATATCATTTAACAAGGAAGACAAGCCGTTATTAGATGCACATCTTGCTCGTGAAATCGAAGTTCGTAGCTCGATCAGTTTGCCATTAAAAGTATTTGCTTACCATCAATTATGTATGGCGTACGTGGTAACAAACCAGATGGATAAGGCACAGGAATCTACTTTCGAACTCGAGAACTATGTTTCTCGCTTAAAATCGTCTTCAGAGTATTTTCTTATTCTTTCTATCGTGGGGTATGCGTACAAACTGGTTGGAAACCAAGAAAAAGCTGTTAATGTGTTGGTTTCTGCCTTGGAGAAAATGCCGAGTCATCCACCATTAACTGAGGCACTTGAATACTTTTTTCTGGACCTTGATTAAAATCGAAGAAATCTCAAACGAATTGGTTGTGGTGAGAATTTTTGGAGTTTTTATTATTGATCTTTTGAAATGCCATATTATCAGACACTCAACACCCAATTTCAACGAGGTTTACAACAATACTGTTTTCGACTAATATTATACCTCACAACAAACTTGTCCAATCACTGAACTTGTTTTATATACCACACGACTACGGTATTTTTCAGAGGATACCAAGCCTCGGGAAACTCGTAACCTGGGTGTTTTACCCGGGGCATGGCATTGAATCGACTCGTATCCTGTCTTTCATCTAATTTTGGTAGCAAAAATTTGCAAGTCAACGGAAAAATCGAACAAGAAATAAAAAGAGTATTATTACGAGGGTCGGTAAAATGTACTAGCTATAGACCTTTGAGGTCAGGGTATTTGTCCAAAAATGTTCTCATTTCTCATTTCCCAAAAAGCTGAGTCTATAAAGAAAAGACATAGTTTGTCAGTCAAAAACGTAAATTGTATAATCAATTCAGCCTGATGCATTGAACAGTTACAGCTTAACAGGTGATCCGGCCCTCATTGGCGAAAAAAGTCCTGGAGTTAAGGATGAATGCCAAGTCGAACAGTTAAATTCAAAAGTTGTATAAGATCTGTTTTGGATTGGTCGAGAATTAAGGCGCGATAGGATTGATGTTCCTTTCAGAAATTTGGTAAATTGGGTTATTTGGCATTCCTTTTTTTCAAATCTTATCATGTAACGATTAGGTACTCGTTCGTTGTGTGCATGCAAATTTTTCAATAAAGACCAGTAATAATATCTCTTAATGGGACTTCATGAGGCTGAAACTACGGGATACTTCGTGGATTTTAACTTTCCACTTCCATCATGTTATGTTACTAATTCAATTACTTTGTTAATAATTTGAGATATATATGAAATACACTATTTTACAATTTGACAGCGGGCTGATATGTACACGCATTAACATAACAATTAAAGCATATAGCACATAACAATGAAATTTTGAAAAAGTCTTTAATCTTAAATTGATAAAAAGTCTTTAAAATTAAACTTCAGAGACAAGTTTTGGCAACGTTATTAATGTTAGGATGAATATAATATTAATATATTTAGGATTTTAATATATTTTTGTTGCGTGATATTATACTGTTATTGAACTCAGCTATTGCAAAGCATTGCAAACTTATTGAACCGAGCTCAATTTTTTTCCTCTGCCTTCGATATCAGCAGGATTTGTTCAACATCGTCAACATCGTTTTATTTTAAACTATATGCATGCATGTTTTATTACTCCGGCGTCAGCGATGGAGTTTAAAATTCGCCTAAGTTTCTTTTTTTTGGTTTTGTATTATTTTTCGTCGTCGCAATTGTGTTTTGGCCTCTGTTGATGATCTACATGATTTAAGCTCTGTTGATGATCTACATGATTATTCTCCTCTCCGCTTTCCAGTTGTGACTCATTGGAATGCCATTTATGGAGTTCAAAAGCAGCTTCCTCGAACATAGATATGGTAGTTCCTTTCAAACTCAGGGCTTCTTCATGCGTGGATCCACCAGTGATAATGTCATCGACGTACTAGGATCTCTCTATCTCTTCGATCTCTTTTGGATATCTCTCTCTTTGCTGATTCAAATGTTGCTTTAGTGTTGCAGCCAAAAGGAAAGGGGATTGGACTAACCCAAATAATTCTCGCGTAAATCTTAAAACTTCAATGTCCCTGGGGTCCTTGTTCTTGATCCAGTGGAAGCGTAAGGCGTCTCTGTCGTCCACTCTTAAAAACACCTGCAGGAATGCTTTTTTCAGATCGGTAGATACTGTAAAGCGATCGGCTTTAGTCGGTTCCGGACCAAGACATTGCATAGGAGGTTCTGAAGAGTTGGGCCTGTCTCCAGGCAATCATTCAGAGACGGGCTTTTCTCACTTTCTCTCGCAGATGCATGAAACACAATTCTCATTTTGGTTGTTTCAGCTGTTTCCTTGATCATAAAATTCCCCACCCTGCGGTTCATTGACACCTCTCTCCACAATACCTTCCGCTAATTGTTCCTGAATGATGGCGTCATGCTTGTCTAACTGGACTGGATCTCTTCCTAGTTTCCTTACCAAGTTTTCCAACAGTTTTAGGCTTCCATTTTCATTTGTTGGTAAGGGGTCATGTCCGGATTTCCATAGCAGACTCGTCTCGTAACGACCATCCTTATTTTGGATCGGCTGTTCCGTGAACATCTCATAAATGACTTGTTGATTTCCTTCTTGTCGGTCTTCCAGACCTAACACATCCAAACTACATAACTCTTGGTAATCGGTACATGATGTTCTGGTTGCATAAACATTTGACAAATTAGACTCACTGCCAGCAGACATCACCGTCCATCTCAACGTTGTCAACTCGGCTGTTGGTTCCAGTGGTTGACCAATTATCGGTTTCGTTCCCATTTTAACTCTCGAATAATCACTGGCCCCTAGTATTATACGTGATTCTGATCGTTGTCATCCATCACCACTCCCTCCTAATGGTTGTATCGTTTCAGAAGCTTTTCATATCTAGGGTTTGGGACTGTCAGAAGTACACTTTTATCTACTTCATCCAGCATTGTTGACATTCCAAACTTCTCATTGACACTCGATACGTTCACCTCGTAGCTGTTGACCTTTTGGGTGGTTGAACGACCATCATCTCAATTTGCTTATGCTCAGTATGAGTTGGTCTCTTGTGTAGGTTTTTTATTAAGGATGATGACAAATATCAGCTCCCTGAGCCTAAGTCTAGTAGTGCATGCTCTATATTTAATTCCATCAACCAACACCACTATCACTGGATAAATTACTGTAGATTCACCTGTTCCCACCAACATCTGTTCTTTGCCAAGTTTCGTATCACATATAGAAGTATGATGTTGACCACCACATTTTTGACAAGTTTGCTTGCTCTTACAATCCCTTGCATGATGTCTTCCGCCAGTGCAATTGAAGCAGAGTCGCTTTTCGCTAAGAATCTTCCTACGTTGCTTGACATCCGTGACCTTACTACACTCTGCTGGTTTGTGATCTTCGCCCTCACAAAATGCGCACCGTCGAACTTGGTGAAGTTTTGGTTGGTAGGAGTGACCATGTCTGCGACTATGACTATCTCTGCGGTCGCTTGTTAGAATTGGATTGCGGTCACACCACTTTCTGAGCGATACAACTAGCCGTGCAAAACCCCACTGCTGCCAATCATCATCAAGGCG